AAGAGGATCGGGAGTTTGGGTGTAAAGTCGAGGAAAGAAAGAAACGAGCTACATGGCACATTACTGATCAGGCATTGCTTGCTGTGAAATGTGAGACCCCACAGCCAACACCCCCCTCCAACAACCCCACCTCCACCCCAGAGAGTGGGGAGCCCCCACTGTGTAGCCAAAAGGACATGACCCTGCCAGGCCACTTTCCAGCCAGCCCACCTGCTGCCAAGGCTCAAAGGAGACCCCAGGGAGTCTCAAGGCAAATCCTACCTCTGCCTTCATAAAGGGACCCCAGGCAGGAGTGGGTAAAGGGGCAGGTTAGCCAGTCCTCTCACAGGTCCTCAGTTGCCACCATCCCTGCTGCTATGGAGACCCTGCTGCCTGCTTGGGCCACCGCCCTTCTCTCTCCAGGGCACCTGACTTCCCTCTCTCCTCTCTCTCACCCCCTGTCTCTCACACTCACAGTAGCTTTAACTCACTCTCACTATGGTTTTGCTCTCTCGCTCGCACAGTTTTACACCATCTCTCTCACACCACATCTCTATTCCTCTACACGCAGCCTTCCCTCTCCTCTGCCCCAGTCTGTCACACATTCCTTCTCTCCTCTCTCTCTCCCCCACCCCTTCTCCTCTCCCCGCACCTCCCCTGGTGCTTAACTGGAAACAAAAGTGAGTTTGTTGTGTTGGAAGAGGACTTGTGGCAGCAGCGGCCAGGACGGCAGCAGCAGAAGCAGGCTGGGGCCAGAGGCAGCGCCAGCAGCCGGGGACCCCAGCGCTCAGCTATTCCAGGGAGCAGGTAATGCCCCGCAGGGCTGGCTCAGGCCCCTGCCCTCTGCCCTGTCTCCTCTCTCCACGGTTATTCCATTTATTTGCCTTCTTACCTGGCCTTGGAGGGGAAGGGGATTCAGACCTATGGAATGGTAGGCACAGGGCCCAAGGAGTGGCATGCCCTCCTCATCAGAGAACCGCATGTGGTCTGCCTGGCGGGGTGGGTGGCTGGTGAGGGACATGCCAGAACCCAGAATGCTGGGTTAGGGCCAGGTCACAAGGGATGTTTTGAGCCATGTCACTGACCTAGGCTTCAGGCAATAGAGAGCCATCGAAAGTTTTTCACCTGGAGAGTAACAAGATCAAATTTGCGTTTTATTTTATTTATTTTTAGAGACACGGTCTCACTGTCACCCAGGCTGGAGTGCAGTGGCCAGATCACAGCTCACTGCAGCCTCTAATTTCTGGGCTCAAGCGATCCTCCTGCCTCAGACTCCTGAGTGAATAGCTAGGACTACAAGCACACACCACCATACCTGGATAATTTTTAAAATATTTTGTAGAGATAAGGATCTCGCTCTGTTGCCCAGGCTAGCAAGCTGCATTTTAAAAAAGTAGCTATTGAGCTCTGATCCCACAGAGGATTGGTGTGGCCCCTCAGAATCAAGCAGTCGTAGTCTTTTCAATTTAAAGAAAAAATAAGATTTTTTTTTCAATTGTTGATTTTTCTTCTATAAAATTTCCTTAAACATTTGGTGTCTGCAAGCGTCAGCAACCAATAAGTCAATGAAAAGGATATACGTTACAAGTAATAGAAAAATTCAGAAACACAATCCATTTAAATAAATGAGGTCCATTGAGCTACACATAAATTAATGGTATTTCCTGCTAGTAAAATTATTTGTAACCCATGTTCACAATATTTTATGGTGCCGTCCAAAGAGCACCATGACTCCCAGGAGTCCACCACATGAACAGGTGTGAAATGTTTTAAAAGCAAACTCTGCTGCTGCGTGGGGAATGGGGACGGATGGGGCGGCAGTGAGTGGCTGTTGCAGTGGGAGGAGCGGGAGAGGAGGAGCCTGAACCAGGTGGCAGTGACGGGTGGGAAGAGGGGAGAAGCTAAACAATGTGTAGAGAGCAAACGAAGGATGCAGCGGCCAGCTGGACACAGATTGTGAGAGAAGAATTTCAGGAGTGAATCACGCGTTTCTTGTCTGGTTGGCTGGGTAGCTAGGGGTGCTACAGGGGTGCAAAACAGGGGAGAGCAGGGTTGCTGCTTTGACTATGTTGAGGTTGACTTGAGAAGGCTGCAGAACTGCCAGATGGAGCAGTCCCGCTGGCAGTTGGAATGCCCAGTACTCGTGGGTGTATTGCCTGGACACGAGGGTGACCTCATCACAGGACACAAAGAACACAGGCTAGCTCAGGAAGAGTGTGGAAAGAGAGGAGAGAAGACGACCAAGGAGGAACCCTAGGGAAGATCAGGACTTAGGTGTTAGCCAGGCAAGAGGAGCTGGGGAGGGATATTGAGAGGGAATCTTCAAAGAGGCAGGAAAAACATCAAGGAAGCACCATGTTGCGAGAGCCAAGAGTAACATTTCAGTGCTGAGGGAGCAGCCAGCACCACTGATGTCCCAAAGAGATAAGCCACACCATAGCTTCACAGTGCTGTTGTTTCAGTTGATTTTATTAGCTTATTGGCTTGACGTTAAGATAACAAGAGCGATCTGAAGGCAGGGGCCGTGAACTTGGGTGCAGTAGCAATAGATGAAAGTAGCAGGGTGATAGTAGGAAGTGGTGGGGATTGTGGCAACCTAAAAATCATGTGCCCACCTAAGAAGGCACCCCATTGGCTCTGGTTGATTGTTGCCAAGCAGGAATGTGGGCCCAGTGATCAGAGCATCAGAATTTTCACAAAAAGTTAGAGATCTGGATCTTTATAAGAAATACCACAATTCTTTATCTTAGCAATAATTTCAAAAACTTTTATACTCTGTGAGGGCTGGATTAAACTCCTCTTTGAGCTGCCAGTTTGAAATCTCTGCCTTAATGTCCTTCGTGTGGTGGGGGCTGAACGAGTTTCAGGGGGTCGGCAAGTGATTGGGCAAGGAGGAAGTGGAGCAGAGCAGAGACCACTCTGTTAGGAAGGTGGGCAAAGGAAGGAGGAAGGGGAGAGGAGAGCTTGGGAGATGAGTAGGGTCATGGGAGGGCATTTGGGGACTGAAAGGGCTGTTTATGGGCAGAGAGAGAGAGGGTGGAAGAGGGAAGTTGCGTATCCAGGGGAAGAAAAGCTGCCTGGTGAAATAACAGTCAGAAGGAGGCAGAGGGGCATGGATGGGACCAGGGACTCGGGTGGAGAAGGGACTCCTTTTGTTCAAAGATGGGCGCCAACAGGAGTGAGGACACCGAAGCATTAGACAAGAGGACTTTGATGGATTTCATGCCAGGAGGCCTTTATTTTCTTGGTGAAGTGAGGTAGATGGCTCAAGAAGCTTGAAGAGAGGAGCAAAGGTTGGGTATGGCTTTGAGGGACACGGGGAAGGGCAGGGCCAAGGAGGAGTGGAATGTTGCTGTGCTTGAGGCTAAGGGGAGAAACCCTCTACTTGCACAGCTGGGTGGCCTTCCACAGCAGGGCTCCTGGCCTGGGTGCAGGGCTTGGTGGTGAGGGGGATTAAGCGCCATTGCATTCCAAGCTCTGGGTCAGGTGTTTTACTCTCCCTACCTGACTTGCTCCTCCCAACAGCCCTGTTCACTCAGACTGAGTTCACTCATGAAGAAGTGGCCGCCCTGAGATGCACACCCGTGTCTGGCTGCACTGGAAGTCCACTGTGCACTCTGATCCCACCACACCACTGTCCCACACTGCCTTCCCTCGGACACACTGCAGGGAGGACGAGGCCAGTGAATTCTTGTTGGGCATTGCCTGGGTTTCACTGGGATGTCCACGGGAAAGAGTGGAAGGTGTGATGAAAGAAAGAGCAGTTGAAATTATCGACCACTGAGGGTCCATGGAGCAATAAGTGAGGACAGAAGGGAATGATAAACTGAGGAAAGAGAGAGGCTGGAGGAAGGGGAAGCCTTAATGAGGCCCAGGAGATGGTGGATGAGAGACTGGACCAGGGCAGGGCAATGGGGCTGGGAGGAGGGAATGTGCTTTTGAAAACTTCCAATACGCAGGGGAGGTAAGGATGACTCCAGGGTGTCCACCCTGCCCACCGTCAGCCACTGCATTGGTTACCACTTTGACATCATGTCATCCTTCTCTGCCCCTTGCTCTCCATGCTCCAGACACACTGACCAGCATGTTCCCCCCACGGGGTGTCTGGAGCACTCAGCACTCTTCTTCCAGACACACAGAAGTAGCTCATTCTCATCTCAGGATGAGACTGCCTCCTCCTCAGAGAAGCCTTTGGTGATCATGCTCTATCTACTGGTCCTTTTGCTTATTTCAGAGCACATATCATTACCCGAAATGGTGGTTTATGGATTTGTTTACTTGTATATTGTCTGTCTCTGTCACTAGAACATACGCTCAAGAGAGCAACAACACATAGGTCTTCCTCACAGCTTTGTTTTCCAATACCTAGAACAGTGCTTGGCACATAGTAGGCATGCATTAAATACTGAGTGAAAGAAAGAAAGAGTGAATGAACACAGGAGAAACATGTTTGGGGAAGGGTACGTGTTCAGGGTTGGGATGCTGAGTTTTGAGGTGCCTGGAAGACACCCAGGAGGTGACTTCCAGTGGGCAGTTGGAAAGCAGGCTGGGAGCTCAGGAAACAGGCTTCCACCATGCCTAGGAAGAAGGTGGACACATGTGGCATACCGGGCCAAGGCCAGTGTTAGGAGTTGGCTGGTTTGGGTCCCAAAGGGAAAAAGGACCCCTCTGGGCTGGTTATGCTGAAGTTGGGCTAGAGAGTTTCTCACTTCACTTTTCTGTTCTGCTCCTGGGTCTTGCTGCTGCCCTGGCTTAGCCACTCCCGTCCTTCTTCACTGCCAGCTACAAGGCCCTGGAGCCTGAGTGCAGACCAAATCCGTTCATCTCTTTTATCTCAAAGGGTATCTCACCCACATCCATCCTGCAGTACTGCTAGTGCTTCGCCCAGGAGTTGGACTTCGCTTTACTGAGTTAGGAAATACTTTTCCCTTGCATTTGCTCCTGCTCCATTTCTGTTGGCCTTGCGGTGGCCCTCCCACCTTCCGCAGGGCACCGGCAGACCCTGGGCCCTCCTTTTGCAGGGTCTCCAGCTGCTGAGCAGCTCCAGGACATCCTGGGGGAGGAAGATGAGGCTCCCAACCCCACCCTCTTCACAGAGATGGACACTCTGCAGCACGACGGGGACCAGATGGAGTGGAAGGAGTCAGCCAGGTGAGGCAGAGCCCCGGACGGGGGGAGGCGGCACCCCAGGAGGGGTCAGGGAGGCTTCTCACTGCAGTCTGCCCGGGCCCAGGCTGGGCAGCCCTCCTGATGGGAAGCCCAGTTTGTACCTTGAGCTCTGCCAAAGAGCTTCCTGGTCCACAGAGACGCACCGCCTTGCCTTCCTTGGTGTCCAGAACTGTGTTGGATACTAAGGAGCAAACAGAACCTTATGACTTTGTCTTTATCCTCAAAGAAATTAAAATCGAAATGGGAAGACAGAACAGTCATCCATGAGACCATAAGACAGTAATACAAGGACATATACAGTCGTTTTCCCCACCACCATGGCGTATGCGGGAGACTGGTTCCAGTGACCCCCACTGATATCAAAATCTGCATGTACTCAAATCCCAAAGTCTGCCCTGTGGAACTGTGTATACAAAGAGTCAGCCCTCCATATACACGGGTTCTGCATTCCCCCATTTGGTTGAAAAATATATAAGTAGATCCACGCAGTTCAAACCTGTGTTGTGCAAGGGTCGATTGTGTTCTTTAATGTCAAATGGTACCAGCTAAATGCTGTAGAAGGGAAAATGCCAAGCTGGGGTAAACAGGAGGTCTTCCTGGAGGAAGGAGGATGTATGCTAGGCTCACTGAGTCTGAGTAGCAGGAAGAATCCAAATGGAGGGAGCCAGTGAGCTGCTGAAGAAGAGAGACTTTGCAGAGTTCGGGGCTGGGCTGCAGAGTAGGGGCCATGGAGGAAGCAGCGGGGACAAAGAGAGCTCCCAGTGTGGGGACAGCAGAAGGAATTGGAGAGCCGTAGACTGGAGGGGAACTGCATGGCAAAGTCACAGGAGCCAAGGGAGGGTCAGGGCAAGGTGTGCCCAGGGCAGGGTGGTCTCTGAACTGAACTGGATTGGTCAGCACTGCCAAATGTCTCCAAAAGCCCAAGGAGAAGGAAGGATACGGGATGAGGCAGCAGGAGGGACCCGGGAAGGACACTGAGAGGATCTGAAGACAGACTGCTCTAATATCTCTCAACCTCTTTTGCATTATGCCCCTCTCCCCGCAGGAGAAAAATTGAATCTGATTTAAACTAACTTTATTAAATTAACATTTCATTCATTTGTTTCTAATGAGAGAAATTAAATACTAAGGAATAAAATTTGTCAGGTTGGGTTGAGCTTTAGGGTGCCACAAACCATTGTAGTATCTAAAATGTTTTCGCTCCTCCAAGAACCAGTTTTTGCCCCCTTAGGGACCATGGTGCCCCAATCAAGAATGCAGGGACTAACCCCAGCTGTGCCAGTACTGGCTCTGAGGACGGGCCACCATAACACCGAGAGCCTGACAGCCGCCCCCAACCACGGCCTGGGCTCTCCCTCTCCCACCTCCCTTACTCGCCCAGGTGGTCCCTGTGCAGACCCAGAAGGAGGAGGTTGGGACATCCCCAAGTTTCTCTGCTCCATGTTTCCTGCAGGGGTATCTGGAAGAAAGGCTGCTGGGTGGACCAGCAAATCCCCAACCCCAGCCGGGCCCAGTGCATGCTGCTGAGTCTCTTCCTGTCAGCTGGGTCTTTGAACCCTTACTGCGCTAAGTGATTCACGCGCCCAACTCCTTCAGGCTGCACAGTGACCCCGAGGGGCGGGGATTGTTATTACCCCTGTTGTGTAGAGAGGAGCAGGTAGCTGAGCCTGGATTCCAGCCCAGGCCTCTCTGACTCCCCATCTCAAGGGCTTAGGTACTTTGTCATGCCTTCCCCATTTTCTCAGCCACCTCTCCCCACTTCAACTTCCAGGGGAAGACACAGGTCTGCAGGCAATTCTACGGGGGTTGGAGATAAATGGGGACAGCTGCAAAGCCCAGGACATCTGTCCAAGGCTGACAAGGGGTGGGGGGTATATTTCAAATGACCAAGGCCCAGCCTGGGCTATTGTGCCGTAACAGCTCTGAGGGGCCAGGGCCTGAAGACACTGTCTGCCCTGAGTGAGGGCCCTTCCTGCCCAGTGAGGGGGAATAGAGGGGAGGAAAGCTGGGCAGGGCCTTCTCAGGGGCCCAGGAGGGAGAGGGTGCCTTCTCCACCCGCTGCCGACAGGGTCTGCACCCAGAACCAGGCCCACCATGAGGGCCTGTCACACACACCGTAGAGCCCTTGCTGAGAAGGCCTCAGGGCCCTGAGACCTGATTCTCCCAGAGACAAAACGCACCCTGTTTCTATTCTCTCTGAGTGTGGATTCATAGAGCCCTGCGCACTACAGACCCAGCAATGAAACTGGTAGAGGATGTTTCTAGAAGGGGCCTGTGAGTTACCATCTGCAAGGTGGTAGGTTTCCCTGTAAGGCAGGCTTTCTGAGAACAGCGTCTGAGGATAACCTGCCTCAAACAACAGTGAAAGGAAAATGGTGACTAGAAGTTAAAATGGCTGAACCCTATTCCAGGCAGATCCCAGGGAGGGGTGGCTGAGGGCCCTCCCTACCCCCAGTCCCCTCTTCTCTTCAGCTAACCCCACCCTGTTTCGCCACTCGGTTTCAAGCATCTAGTGAAGTCAGGAGGGCTTGACCATTGGCCAAAAAGCCCACCATGGCCCTCACAGTTTTGTTGGGTCCTCCTCCAGGTGAACTGCAAGAGCAGACGTGCTTGCGTCAGCGCTGTTTGGGGCCTGACACCCCCGCAAAAAAATGGGAAGCAGTTCCCTCAGCTGACAGGCCATGGGACCCACTCAGGGAAGCCAGAGGGCTCAGAAGTTTCCAGAGTCTACAAATCAGCAAGTCCTGTAGTGGGTTCTGGGCCTCTTTGAGTAACAGAAGAAAATGGTGGGGTGTAGGGGACAACCCCTCACGCAGACACACAGGCCAGCGGGAGGGTTACCCCTGCCGAAGAGAAGGGAGGAGGGGACCCTGTAATAAAAGTATTTAATTTGCTGCAGGGAGTGTTTGCTTCTTGGAGTTAGGAGATTAACAGAGTGAAAATCTCAAATCCGCAAGGAATTTTCCCTGGCGGTGCTTTGTCGTGGGTTATTAGTTTGGGGGATGTTTCAGGCCCTTGGAGGAGTCACTCCTGGGAGGATTTAAATGGCTTTTTGAGCTCCACTGAGCCTTGCCCCGTGCACATAATGGGGACTGTGTGTGCCGCGTCATTTCTAATGTGATCAATGCTGGTAGGTCAGGCTGTTAATAAGATAGATTTTTATTAACTCTGTCTCTTTAGCATTCCCACGAGGGAAATGCAGCTGGCTGTGTGCTCACGATGACCTTGCCAGAAGGGAGGGCTGGATCAGGTGGGGCGGGGGCGATCCTCCCATTGTGAGCAAACAATTTACCCAGAATTCCCTCTTCCCTCGTGCCAACCTCTGCCGGAATGCCAGGGCAGGAAGGAGAGTGACCTGGATTGGAACCCACCCAAGTGTGGAGGGCCCTTCAGGGTTACTCAGAAATAACCAGAGCTTAGCACCTTCCAAGAGCTCTGAAAGCGAATTCCGAGTCCAGGCTGCCTCTGATCTCAACTCTGAGCAGACCAAAAACATGAACTTGGCAGAAGGTTCTTATGAGACACATATGCTCTGAGAACATTCCTGTGATGACCAGGAAAGGGCAGGGACAGGGCAGGAGAACTGGGTCAGCTTGTTGGGTCAAACCAGATCGGTACATGTTCAAAAGCCCCCTCACGTAGGCAGGGAGCCTTCCCACTCCGTGCAGGATGGAAGAGAAAGCCCAGACTTTTCATCTCAACCCTGAAACTGCTCCTGTTTAAGGTCTTGCGTAATGCCCCCCCTATGCCATTTCCCCTCTTAAGTGTCGGGTAGAGGCATCTCCAGCCCTCTGGTCTCACTACCCCTCTGGAATCTACCTGCCAGTGGGGCCAGAGCTGCCCACTCTCTGTATAAAGCGGAGTAGAAAACTGAGAGCACCCAGTGCCAAAGACAACTAATTTTCCCTGAGTGTTTACTATCTGCAAGCCCTGGGCCACGTACCAGAGCTGCAGAAGTGGAACAGGGCAGATACCGGCCCTGTTCATTTGGGCTCCCAGGTTAATGCGGCCCAGACAAATAAGTAGGCACTGGGTAATGGGGGTTCTGCCAGAGCAAAGGGGCATCTAACCCAGACAGAAGGGTCTGGGAGGGCTTCCAGGAGGAAGAAGCGTTCATATGGAGACCCCAGGGGTGGATCAGAGTCAGCCAGGAGAGGGTAGGGAAGGGGGAAGAGGTCCCTGGAACAGGGCAAACAGACACACAGAGGAACGGGTAGAAGGGCCCTGTGGCTGTTCTGTAGCAAGGGGGAGGACGTGGCAGGGCTGATCATGCGGGTCCTAGGCAGGTGCGGTATGAAGTTTGGATTCGGTGCTGAGAGCGTCGGAGGACCACTGAAGGGTCTTAGATGGGAAAGGGATAGGATCGTGTACCGTTTGAGAGATCCTCTGGCTTTAGTGTGGAGAATGGATAAAAGGAGGCGAGACTTGGCCAGTGAGGACGCTGGCCCAGGGGAGAGATGAAGGCAGTGAGCATAGAGAGGGGGTGGATTTGAGACAAAACTTAAAAGGTAGAATTGACAGGAATTGATGACAGAGGCCATGTGGGGGAGAAGGGTAGTCAGCAGATGTGGGTACCTCGTGGTAGCAGTTTAGGAAACACAAAAGGAGTAGTAAGGTTATGTGGCATTGGGACCAGGCTGCATGAGAGACCTTCAAAGGTCCTGCAGTCAGACTGGGGGAACACCAGTCCACACCCCTGGGACAGCCAGGCAGCGATGCAAGGACATCACATGGTTGACCCAGGAGAGTAAGATGAGACTAGTTGGCCAGTGAGTGTGATCGGAAGACTAGTTAAGAGAAGAGAGATGGCAGGGACTGGACTACTCAGGGAGCTCCTCAGGTGTGGCAGGACTGGCGGGCAGCAAAAGCCATCAGCTCACTCAACGGCCGTTGTCAGGAGGGGAGTAACCCCACCATCGTGCTGAGACCCCTACTTGATTTACCTATTCATATATATTTTTTATATATTCAAATATATATTT